TGTTATTTCAATATCTTATTTGAATACATGTTTAATCGCATGTTGAAAATGGAAACACATTTTTTGTGTTTTCATTTTTTGGCTAAATTTATAAACTGAGACCACTGATTTATAAATCAAAAATTTTACCAAACAAGTTTTTATTTGAGTTTTTTAAATTTTTGTAAATATAAACAGAAAACTGAAAACGTAAGTGTTACCAAACAGCACCTTAAAGACTGGAAATGTAAAAGACTGGAAAAGAAAATATATGAAGTAAATGACTGATTTGTATGATCTGAGTACTCCCTTTTTTTTCTGGGGGCTGCCCTGCTATTTATACTTGTCAGTGATGACCTTCGAACTGCACTTCGAACCGTCGAACTGCTCCTCCATGATCGCTGATCATGCTTCCTTATAAGTAGCTCCATTACGCCATTACTGGCAGTTAAGCTTCCCTCTTGTACTTGAATTTGAATATGAGTAACCGTTGAAGATATGTCATCTTGCATCCCGTTATTGATCTAGTGTTACTCAGATCATGTGAGGACCAATATTTATTGCCACGTGTACGATCGGGATTAAAGGCTTGAATAACCTTCCTTTATTACCCTTACTCTGCCACGTGTCGAACTGTAACTGGCTTTTACAAAATATGTAATCAACAAATAGGAATCAATTATTGATTTGATATTGTTAGAATAATAGAGAAGCATAAAAGAGAGAATAAATTGTATATGTATATTGTATTTGCACTATGTTCAGTTGGCTCCTTTTATAGAGGAGAGGAGTTACATTTGGCCAAAAGTGGCACTACAATAAAGCAAAGCAAGTACTACAATAAAGCAACATTATTAAAGCTAACATTCATTAACATTACAGCTTAAACTCAAGAAGGATATGTATCAACTAACTTGAATTTGAAAAGAATAACGAAACGTGAAAACAAACTAACAAATAAAATAAAATAAGATAGAAGAGATTGTGTTTCTCTTGGTCTGGGTCCTCAATTTCAAGCACCAACAATGCTTACATTGCTCTCCAAGCATGGAAATTAGCAATCACAGATGACCCATTGGGGGTTTTGTCCACATGGGTTGGCTCAAATGTGTGTTCTTACAAAGGAGTCTTCTGTGCACACCTTCTTCTTTACCCAATTATTCGATACAAATCCCACTCGTCTAAACCAGTGCGCACGTTAAACCAGTGGAGTCGACTCCGACGGCTTCTACTCCTACTACGCCTACAGCTTCTCCTCCTACTTCAACTCCAGCACCACCGACAACTCCTGCTTCGACCACCAGCTACTCCGCCTCCGCCGAGTCCTCCACCATCTCCTCCGCCTCCCGCACTGTCGCCTCCGCCAGCTATTCCACCTGCTCTGGTTCTGGCGCCGGCTCCAAGCACGAAGCCGACATCTCCGGCGCTGTCTCCTTCGCTATTGAGTCCTCCGTCACCTCCCGCTAGCGCTTCGGCGCCGTCTCTCCCGACTACATCGCCTACACCATCTGCTTCCGATCGCGTCGTGAGGCCAATCTTGACCAATCAACACTGTGAAACTAATGTCAGAGGTGAATGAAAAGGTTGTGTTTAACTTTGATGTCCTGTTTACAGTCAGATGTACATCGCCAATGAGGACTCTTGTCACAGATTCACGGGCACAGTCCTAGACACATTCAAAGACCTCTCATCACTCACTGAGTCAGATTTACGCAACAACCAATTCTCACGTCCTTTCCCACAATTTTTTTTAAGAGGGCTGCTATTAGCATCTATTAAAATTTTTTGGACCTCTCATTTTATAATTTTTTTTATTATAATTATACCTTAAAGTAAAATTACATTAAAAGACATTATAAAATAGAACACTCACCTATCAATAACAACTAATACTCTATAATATTGAACACCCACCCCCACCCCCACCCCCACCCCCACCTCGTGATACTTAGGCCCTTGAAACAAATGTTCAAAGCAAATGTAAGGATGAGAATATTTACACACCCCCACCCCCACCCCCACCTCCAACTCCAACTCTAACTATACGCATTCCATGTTTGTAAACCCTAAATCTATTACTTTTCATAACTAACTAACATAAACCCTAAATCTATTATTTTTCATAATCATCTTAAATCATGAATGTGTCATCTTCATCACCATTATCAACGCTATTGAACTTGAAAGTTTTGCTTCAAGTATAACGTATACTTCATCACTTATTTCACTGTGTAGAGCAATAGAGGCCGAGGACAGCATTCTCGGTCGTTTATCTGTCTTCTATTAACATTCTCGGTCGTTCTTGTTTCGTTCGAGTTGTTCGGTACTGGTTTGCTGACTGTTACAATTATGTTCGGTAGTATAGTACTGAACATAATCCTTTCGTTCAATACATAGGTTCCGAACATTAATGCAGATAGTTAGTTATGTAATTTCTTTGTTAAACTAACTTAGAATGGAAAAGAGTGAATTGGAATGGATTTAAGTTATGTATTTTGAATGGATTTAATTCATGTTATTTTAAGTTGTGAATTAGAATGGATTCAAGTTACACAGTGATGAACAAATTTTGTTCGGACGTACAGTGCTGACAGGATCATTATTGTTCGACAAAACAGTTCTGAACAAAATACATTTTTTCGGCTACACAGTGGTGAACAAATTGGGTGGGTGTGCATTTCATTGTGAAAATATGGAGATTAGTTTTCTATTCTGAAAATATTATAAAAATATTATGGAGATTAGTTTTCCATATATATACATTGTTTTCTATTCCTACAATTCGCATCAATCATCACTTTCTCATCTGAATTTTCCAATCAATGGCAAATTCTAAAGAGACCCACGTCGTTGAAATCCTAATCGACGAAGAACACCAACCCCGCAAGTAAATGCATTGTGTTTTCAGGAACCACTTTTTAGATGTGGTTAATGTTAGAGAGAGAAGAGAGAGAAAAAGCTAGGGTTTTGAAAGGGTTTTGAGAGAGAGAGAGAAAAGAGAGAGAAGAAAGAGAAAAATCTTCACTTTCTCATCTGAACAAAAAAGGTTTTGAGAGAGTGAGAGAAAAGAGAGAGAAGAGACATCACTGATGAGGAGAGAGAGAGAAGAGAGGAAGGTAGAGAGTAGGTGTGGTTGGGGGTGTGAATTGCGTGCATATGTTGGAATGGATTCAGGTGGGTGTGCATTTCATTGTGAATATGGGTAGATTTGGTAATAAGTGGGGTGTCTAAAAAAATATTATTAAAATTTAGGATTTAGGGTTGGGGTCCAAAAAAATGGGGGATCCAAAGAATTTTGATAGGTGCTAATAGCAGCACTTTTTTTTAATATTTCAACCTACATACCCATGTTCCCATGTTCTCTAATCACACCCATGTTTCCCACTACCAACTAGGGGTGTAATTTTGGCCCACGGCTTGAAGCCCGCCCGCGGCCCGAGGTGGGCCCGGCCCGTTAAGGCCTGAGCCCAAGCCCAGACCGAGGCCTTAGGCCAGGGCCTTCATTTTGAAGCCTGGCTCGGCCCATGGGTTCGGTCCACCCAAGAGACAGTGTTATTTTTAATGGAAAATATTAAAATTTTGGTGGAAAAAGAAATTAAAATTGTTTAGACCCGTCCAAGCCCACCTAAAGCCCGAGCCCAGACCCAGGCCCAAGCCCAGTGGCTCGCCCAAAGCCCGAATATCCTTGGGCCTAGTTTTCTGGCCCATGGGCCTGGCCGAGCCGACCAGATTTGATTTTTTGGCGGGAGCCCGCAAGGCCCGACATGGGCCGGCCCAGGCCAAAATTACACCCCTACTACCAACATACCTACAACACTTTTTTAATATTTCAACCTTTTTCCTTTTTTTAATCTTCCACCCACCTAGGCATGTCTCTTACGAGTCAACTTTATTTTATTTTATTTTATATATACTTTATTTTACATATTTTATATTTTTTTTTTCTGTTCTCCTTTCTTATCTTACTTTTTCTTGTACAACTCGAACTTGTTCCAAAAAAAACAAAAAACAAAAAAACACCTTTTTACCATTTTTTTAACATCTCCACTCTGTGTTGAGTCATTCCACTCCACTTTGTCAATTCCTTTGTTTCAACCTCAAATAGGTTTCTATCTTCAAACCTATTTGAGTTTGAGGGAAGATATTATACATATATCATGGTGAGCATGGTTATACACCATGCGAACCACCCAAGCCACCCCATGGCGCCCTCCCTAAGTCGCCCCTTGATGCACCACCAAAATCTTCTCCAACGGTCCGACACAACCACACAGTATCTTCTACAACGGTCTGACACAACCATACAGTGTCTTTTACAACGGTCCGACACGACCACACAGTGTCTTCTACAACGGTCCGACATGACCATGCAATGTCTTCTCCAACGATCCAACACGACCACACAATGTCTTCTACAGCGGCTCTGATACCATGTTACAATAATAGAGAAAGATAAAAGAGAATAAATTGTGTATATATATTGTATTTGCACTATGTTCAGTTGGCTCCTTTTATAGAGGAAAGGAGTTACATTTGGCCGAAAGTGGCACTACAATAAAGCAACATTATTAAAGCTAACATCCACTAACATTACAGCTAATACACTAACATATATTATTAGTACCAGAATAAAAAATAAAAGCATCATAGAAAGGATGGACACAAAAATCATGCCACAGAAACATCATAGGACACTGAGCATACACCCCTATGAGTGTTGTGTGTCATTTTTGTGACGATTCTGTTCGCAAATTTGTATACAAGGAACCAACTCATTTCAAACAGAGAGGAGATTGAGAAACTCTCTTTCAGAAATTATAATCATCCATGGATGTTCATAACCAACAACCAAGCCATGACTCCAAACAAGCTCAAGTGGTCGTAATCATGATGCCTTTTCCACGCCAAAACCACCTCAACCATGTAATGACCCGACCCTCATGTATGTTTCTAGTATGCTTTCAGCCCCTCGTTCTGTGCATTTAAATACTTATTGTGAAATTTTATGTTAAATTAAGTTTGATTAAGTGAATCCTATGTTGATGAATGCATATTTGTTCAACAAGAGAAAGATCTGTTACAATTAGAATGTTGGATCAGAAATTGAGAGCCATGGAGGCTTGATAATCCGAAATTGATTTTACATATGAGATCGGCATAATTTTTAAGTTATAATAAGCATTGTTGTGAAAATTTGATTTGGAATGATTAAACTAATTAGTTTTCATCTTTACTCACCTTTATATAAATATCTTTGCCTTTGAACATTTGATGGAGAACTATCATAAGAGAAGCTCCTGAGGGAGAGAGAGAGAACTAGAGAGGAGAAGGGTTTGAAAAGAAGTTCAAGGAAGGAATTGGTTAGAAGGTTGTAGGAAGCTTGATTCAAGGTATGTCTAGTTTTTTTTATTAACCCCTCTCTTGCATGGGGAAGGAATTCCTCTATATTATTGTGTTAATGATTGGTTGAGTTGTTATTTCTTGTGTTGAATTGATTAGATATTGAATTATCTAGTGAGGTATCTAATGAGAATCTATCTTGTTTTCCTTAATTGTCAAATTAGAACCCATCTACTTGGTTGCATGGTTGTGTGTGTGTGTGGATGGGTGAGGAAATTGGAGATAGTGTGGAATTGGGTTGTGTTCATAAGTTTAGAGGTTAAAGATTTTAGATATGTTAATTTGATGTATGTGTTGTAATTCTTATTCATGTGAGTTTTGGGACCACATGCTAGCAATTTATGGACTAGTTCTGAGCCTTAAAAATACCTACAAAGAATGGAACTTCTACTGAATTTCGGACTGCAAGATTCAGCAAAACGCCGCACGTGCGGGGGTCATGGCCGCACGTGCGAGAACCCCAGCCGCACGTGCGGGAGTCATGGCCGCACGTGCGGGAAATGAGGAATTTTGGACCTTTGGTTACTGTCTAAAAAACACGTGCGGGCTTCACTGCCGCACGTACGGGACCAACCGCCGCACGTGCGAGGCTCACAGCCGCACGTGCGGCCCATGATGGAAAAAATGGTTTGTTCTGTTTTGCATGCCCGACCCTCGGATATTTTTAAAACCTGTATTTGATGCCTTCTGATATTTGTAAAATTTGTTTGAAGCGAAGTGAGTTAAGAAAGGATTCAACAAAGAAAAAGGAACTAATTGGTGAGTTATGTATGTGTGCAGGGCACACTCCAGGAAGGACTAACGCTCCACCCCAGCACTGTGAGTAGTAGTACTGTATTCGTATGTTTACTACCGTTAATAATTCTTATTATTAACGCTCTGCTCTTTACAAGTAATTACGTTAACATTTATGTTGTTTGGAAATCGGTGAGAACGTTGAAAGACTTTGTGTACATCGGCATGACTCTGGAACTACTCTGCATTCTGGTTATGGTTAATAGTTAGCATTAATGTGCTACAACCTGTAAGTTACTTACGACTCCGCATAAGAATTACATACGAATTATTAATACTGTGCATTTGATTAATGAAAAAGGAATTGTGGATGTAAACCCCGCTTACGGAAACATGATATTTTGAATGTCCTATTATGGACTCCTATAATCTGGTTGATTCGACGCATGTTTTATGACATAGATATCTGTCTAGAATGGATTGTCGAAATGAATAATCGGATAGAACCATGGGTTGCCTTATACGTCAAAGAATCGAATATCAATAACCTTGTTATATGACCCATGTTATGGTGTGAATTGGTCTGTCCCCATGATTAGTACTGTAATGACACATGTGTTTCTGTAAACAACTATTATTAATATTCTGTTATACGCAAGACAACTGTGCCAATCTATAACATACGCTCTACTTACAGCTAACGATGGCCATTAGCATTCTGTTATCGCATGTCAATTATGTAACTGTGTGAAGGATTCAAAGAATGTGAATGAATGATGGAAAGGATGTGTATACTTTCCCATGACTCTGGAACTCTGTAAGATTCTGAAACTAGCCTGCTCTGATGATATCTGGGCCTATGGCCAATCTGTATTTTCTGGTGTGAAACAAAGTGTTGTACGGAACCAAGTGCTACAAAGTGAGTCACCTCTAGAATCCATGCGAGACACCTCTTGAGTTCATACATGCATGATAAGGGCTTAATGCCATTCTGATAAGAGCTGAATGTCATTCTGTTTAAGGGCTCAATGCCAATCCATTCAAGGGCTTAAAGCCATCATGTTTAAAGGTTGGGCCTAAAGCTGTTCTGGAACTGGTACAAAATTAGATAAACCACATGATCTCTGCATTTACACGCACATTGATATGTATCATGTTTTAAGTTGAGTATCGAATTGTTTAAATACTATTATTCACCGAGTCTGGCTCACTCTGTGTTTTGTCTGATTCTGTAGGTAATCCATCTGGAGGTCAGTCATAACCCTGGATGCTTGTCTCTCTTTTGTCAGCCTCAGGGGGGTCCAGGCACTTAAATGAAGCCTGTGAAATTTTATGGAGCTTTGTTAAGCTTTCAGCTTTGTGTTTTAATTGTCTGTCTAAAGTTGTAATGCTTATAACTCCTTCCTTCCCCCAATGTCTTGTTATATGCCCAATCATGGTGCTGGGTCTGCAATTATATATGTATGCATAACTAATTTCTTAGATGCACGTTACTATACGTCTATCTATCTGATGCAAAGTTTGTGATCTATCCGATGCAAAGTTTGTGATCCTGGCATGATAGTAATAGCTCGATGGATGTAGTTTTATGTTATTGTTCATTGTTAAATGCTTCCATTCAGGCCCCATACGTTATGTATACCAGGTTAAGTGTCCGTTTCTGAGTAGGTCATGCCCAAACTTTTAGGGACGAGTTTGGGGTGTAACAAACCAGCTCCTCCAGCTCTCCTGCCTAATCTCCTCCTACAACATCCAGCTCCACTACGCATGCTCCACCACCCACATCCACCAAGATAAACTCTGCTTCAATAGCGCCTTTCCTTTGCCCAAATCAATTTCCATGAGTTCCCTACCCCTCCTTTTCTCTCTCCTCCACCCAACCCCAACGCCCCATGTAAATTTTCATCACATCTCCAACCATCCTTCGAAGCCTCTTTGCATCTCCGCAACCCCATGACCGAACTCTTACACAAAATCTCTTCCACGACTAGAAAAGTAATAGTTGTCCATGATGCCCTCATGGCTTATGTGGTCCAGGACATCGCTACCACACCAAATTCGGAATCCTATTCTTTCACCACCATTAGTGCGTTCGCTTGTTTCTTTGAAGGATGGCAAATGATGGGAAAATCCTCCAGGTAGACAAACCATAGGGGTTACCATCTATTGAAGTCTGTTACCCTTCCGAGATTCTAAATTTCATCACCCTCCAAATTAATTTCCTGAAATTTACATCTGGATCTATCATGAACGCGTGCAGATCAATCAAAGTACCTACATTGATTTATTGAAGAAGATACTGATTGATGAAGACAAGCAGCTATGGGCGATCCAGGCCATTGAACTCAAGAAGAGTAGATGGCAACAAAAACTCAAATAGGCAACACAGATGTTTGGATTGGCTTGGCAAACAAGCCCCACATTCCATGTTATATGTTTTGCTTGGAACAACAACTTCGATGACAGATCAATGGATCAAAGAGCCCACAATGGGGTTGGAATAGAGTGGGCAAAAGTTCATTTGGGTGTTTAAAGATGCCGGTAAAGGAGACATATTTGCAGACGATGTCATGAGAGCAGAAGCCCTGCCAGAAGGTTATGAAAAGAGAGTTAAAAGAATTGGACTAGTGGTGAGAGATTGGGCACCTCAACTTGAAATTTTGGCGCAACTATCAACGGGTGGGTTCATGAGTCACTGTGGATGGAATTCATGCTTGGAGAGCATCACCATGGGAGTGCCAATAGCAGTCTGGCTGATGCACTTGGATCAACCCAAGAACACAGTTCTGGTAACAGACATATTAAAAGTTGGTGTGGTTGTTAAGCAATGGGCAGCACACCAAGAGGTGGTGGCTTCATCAACCATTGCAAAAGATGTCAAAGGTCTAATGACATCAACAGAAGGGGAGGAGATGAGGAAGAGGGTGGAGGAACTGGGTTGTGCCACCTGACAGGCAGCGGAGTTTCTCGCATGGAATTGGATTCATTCATTGCTCACATAACTTTGTAGATTCGTTTACTGACACGGGATGAATATTGCCTTTCCTTGCATTGGATTGTAGCTCAGAACTTCTCCAGAATCACAATAATCTAAAAATAAGTATTTGATCAATAAAATCATATTACTCTATATATGATAGAAGCATAGTCAAGTGCTATATATTCTCTCTTTAAAATGTCTACCACTCAAAAATGAAAATAGTTGACAATTACAATTAAAAAAAGAAAATTATGTAAAATAATTTACACAAGTAAAATTAGCAGAATGCCAAAGTAGAGCATAGTACTGACTGACTGGACTTACTAAACAGAAAGCAAGAAAAATGCAATTCATAATTTGACATATAATTAAATTAAATGTATATTGGAATATGAACTACATTTACATACATACATACATGATACATACATGCATATAAAACCAAAAAACCAAATAATTATAGCTAGCCAATCTTGAACTGTGTTTAGCTAAGTCTAGCCTTTCATTTTCCTTTTTTTTTAAAAAAAAAAAGAAAAAAAAAAACCTCTGACTGTGAGAATCGTCATTGATTATTCCATACAACAATGATTTAGATCACTAAAAAATACATCACTAATAATATTAATATATTGAAAATGACAAAAAAAATAATAAAAAAATAAAAACAAGGCATAGAAAGTGAGCGGGATCCACTGCCACATCATTAATGCTCTCTTTAGTAATCCTCTTTGAATGCTCCCAAGCATTTTTCTTATTCCATATTCTGATATTATCACTCCAATTGGCGTGCACAATTTTTCTTAATATTAAATAATAATAATATCATTTGGTTCTGTGTTGACTACTAGCACACCAATCAATAAATAAAAAAATAGATAAGATTGTTTGGAATAACTTAAATAAATATATTTTTGTCTTTTTAAGAAAAGATATGTAAAAAAATAAAGAGATAATATAATAAAAAATGATAAAAAGATAAATTATTTTAATATTGTCAAACTTGACCTAAGGCCCCGTTTGGGGACTTACCTTTTTAGTCAAAAAGCTAAAAAGTTATCTTTTTAGCCAAAAAGCCAACAACTCATATCAAAAAGTCAAAGATTCTCTTTTCTCTCTACTTTTTGCACATCTTTTCGTAATTAGCCAAAAAGTCATCCCAAACATATAAATTTTTTTTACCTATTTTTTTAGCCAAATAACCAAAAAATTACTAAATTAGTCTGTTCCCAAACGAGGCCTAAATATCCTTTAAGTCTATTTTTATGTATTTTTCGGTATATGCGCACACAACTAATTACGAAATTATTTTCAGATAAAGAAATAGGTTTGCCTCTGGGTTGACTTTAAACCAAAATAAACAAATAAAATCAATTACAACAGTGCTGGGACCCCGGGGTGACCCCACCTCCACGTGGGGTACAGCAAGTGAAAGACAAAAAAAATAAAAACAAAAACGAACCAATAAAAAAAAGTGGGAATCTAAGGCATTTTCCAATCAATTATTGAATTGATATTATCAATATCTGAATAATAATAAAAAGCTGCCATAGAAATGATAGACGCAGAAATTGTGCTACAGAAACGGCGCAGAACACTCGACACGCACTAGTGTTCTATGTAATTTTTGTGACGGTTCCGATCACAAATTCCTATATAAAGAACCAACTTATTTCAAGCAGATTGGCGGTTGAGAAACTCACTTTCAGAAAATCTAGTCATCCATGGATGTTCATAACCAACATCTAAGCCATGACTCCAAACAAGCTGAAGTGGTTGTAATCATGGTGCCTTTTCCATGCTATAGCCACCTCAACCAGGTCCTCCAGCTCTCCTGCCTAATCTCCTCCTACAACATCCCCGTTCACTATGCTTGCTCCGCCACCCATGTGCACCAGGCTAAACTCCGCTTCAATGGCACAAACCGCCTTTCCTTTGCCCAAATCCATTTCCACGAGTTCCCTACCCCTCCTTTCCTCTCTCCTCCACCCGACCCCAACGCCCCGTGTAAATTTCCATCACATCTCCAACCATCCTTCGCAGCCTCTTTGCATCTCCGTGACCCCATGGTTCAACTCCTGCACAAAATCTCCCCCACAGCTAAAAGAGTTGTTGTTGTCCACGATGCCCTCATGGCTTATGTGGTTCAGGACACCGCTACCATACCAAATACTGAAACCTATACTTTTAACCCCACTTGCACGTTCTCTTCCTTCTTCGACGGATGGCAAATGATGGGAAAGCCTTTCCAGTTAGATGAACCACAAGAGTTACCATCTCTTGAAGGATGTTACACTTCCGAGGTCCTGAATTTCTTTACCCTCCAAACTGATTTTCTGAAATCTACATCTGGAACTATCATCAACTCATGCAGATCAATCGAAGGTACTTACATTGATTTATCAAAAGAGCTACAGGTTGACAAAAACAAAAAGATATGGGCAGTTGGGCCATTGAACACCGGAGCAGTAGATGATGGCAGAAACTCAAATAGCCAACACAAATGTTTGGAATGGCTTGACAAAAAAGCCCCAAAATCCGTGTTATATGTTTCGTTTGGAACAACAACTTCACTGACAAATCAACAGATCAAAGAGCTCGCCATTGGGTTGGAACAGAGCGGACAAAAATTCATTTGGGTGTTGAGAGATGCCGATAAAGGTGACATTTTCGCAGGTGATGTTAAGAGAGCTGAAGTATTGCCAGAGGGTTATGAAGAGAGACTGAAAGGAGTTGGACTGGTGGTGAGAGATTGGGCACCTCAACTTGAAATTTTGGCGCACCAATCTACAGGCGGGTTCATGAGTCACTGTGGATGGAATTCATGCCTGGAGAGCATCACCATGGGAGTGCCGATAGTAGCCTGGCCGATGCATGCGGATCAACCAAAGAATGCATTTCTCGTGACAGACATATTGAAGGCTGGTGTGGTTGTCAAACAATGGGCAGAGCTGCAGGAAGGGGTGGTGGCTTCATCAACCATTGCAGAAGCTGTCAAGAAGCTAATGGCATCAAGAGAAGGGGAGGAGATGAGGAAGAGGGCAGAGAAACTGGGAGGTGCCACCCGGAAGGCGGTAGAGGAAGGTGGTGTTTCTCGAATGAAATTGAATTCGTTCATTGCTCACATTACTCGGTAGATTTGTTTATTGACGCAGGATGAATTGGCTTTCCTTTCATTGAATTGTAGTCCAGACCTCCAAATCACAACACTCTGGAAATAAGAGAATCATTTTAGTAATATATGATACAAGTATAGTCAAGTGCTATAATTCTCATTCTTGTGTTCTTTCTTTGTCCGTGTGCGATGGGAAGAAGGCTAATTAACCATAAAAAGGTATTTACCAGACTACAAAAATGGCAAATTAGCTAGACTACAAAAATTGCAAACCACTGCATCAAGAAAATTGATCCCAACAAAAACTATACAATTAAATTGGTTGTAATTTGCTCACAGATCATGTAATCAGCTATGAAGTATGGGTACAACTACTAGTACTGGTATGATATAGGTACGTCGATACAGTAAAATCTAAAAAAAGTAAGGTACGGGTACGGCTTGGTACGCTTGTAAAAAAATATTTATTTTTAATTTAGAATAATGCAAAAATTAATTAAATGGTTTAATTTGTTAAGATCCGACCTATAATTAATATTTAATGTTAAAAGTAAAGGTATAAATCAAAATTAAATGTCAATATATTAAATAACTTACAAACTATAATTTAATTTTAAAATCATACTAAGCATAAAACTAAAATTAAAAAAGAAGTCTAGTGAAAGAAGTTTTATCTCTGTAGTAGAAGAAAATATTGTTTCAACTAAGATACGATACAGTTTGGATATATACTAGGTACGTCTAGGTACGTCAAAAATTAAGAAGAAAAAATTTGGGTACGTATTTTGTGTACTCGGTACGTATGCAGAAGTATCATACAAGGTATCATATGCCAATAAGTATCCGGTACGAATACGGCATGTTTTTCAAATTATCCATGCTTCATAGGTAATCAATTTTGTATAGTGAAATTTTATTGTCCGAAAACAAACAATAATAAATATTTGTCAATTATTTTATAGAATTTCACATTCAGTTCATGTTCGATCAATCTTGACAAGATGATTCAAACAAGTAAAGACATTTTAAAGTTTAAAAACTAAATTTAGCAAACAAACCTTATTTTTGTAATTGTTACGAGTGTAGTGTAAGCACCATCCTTCGCACCGAAAAACTTATTAAGAGACCTATCACTAAAAATTCCTTCTTTTTTTTTTTTTAATGCACCCAAAAATAGAGCCCTGCTAAATACCCCCAGTGGGGGTCGCACCCCCAGTGAGGTGGCGCTCCTCCACTGGCTGACAACCAAAAAAAAAAAAAATTTCGCCAAATCACGGACCTCCACCTCACTGGGGGTCGACCCCCAGTGGAGATATAAAGCATTTTCGCCCAAAAATATATGCGTGAATGATTAAAAAATAGCTATTTGTACAAACATCTACAGAGATAGACTTACCAAATAAATAATTAGTACATAAAAATATATGCTTATTATCATTGATTTAGGTGCTCCGGGGAGGATTTCTATGATCATGGTTTTTGAGCTTTTGTTCTATACTGTGGTTTCCTAGGAGTACATTATAAAATAATCTTTATTGCGGAAACATTGAAGATTTGTCTCACCTTCATAATTTCAAACAAGTTTTCATTGGGAAGAAAGAAAATTATAATTAGATTCTGGTAAGTAACTATTTACTACTGGACAATTTAAAACAGACATTTTAGGTTATGTTTGATTCCATAAGATTAAAAGTGAGGTATTGATAATCCTATTAAATTAGTGTGGTATTCATAATCCCACCCCTACCCCATTACTAATAATCCTACAAATTTGTTGGATTAACTATCCATTGGATTAATAATCCTAAAACAAAATGTCAAAACAAACATGGGATAATTGGACCTACGGATTAATAATCCCAATCCCATTCCCATACTCTAATCCTTCCAATCAAACATGCCCTTAGGTCATGTTTGATTCACAATACTAATAGTGAGGTATTAATAATCCTATTAAATTAGTGTGGTATTAACTATCCCACCCCTACCCCATTACTAATAATCCTACAAATTTGTTGGATTAACTATCCATTGGATTAATAATCCTAAAACAAAATGTCAAAACAAACCTGGGATAATTGGACCTACGGATTAATAATCCCAATCCCATACTCTAATCCTTCCAATCAAACATGCCCTTAAAGAATTAAATATTATTTAATGAATGAAAATGGGAAAATTCAAAATCTCAATCCATGCAGTACAATCATGTTGAATCTATTCAATTTGAATTGGCATGTTCTCCATCACAATTATTGTAAAAAGACATTTACAAAAATGAGTCTTGGACAGTTTATTTGCGATGTATAGTCAAAAATGGGCCACGCCTAAAATGTGGTCAAGTTCTAATTGTTCAAGTTGATTCTGTAGAGTTAGGGGGAGGGAGGAAAAGGTTGCAATCAGTTGAAAGTATCATATGATCATTTTCTAACAAGAACAATAGACTATAAAAATGTTGAACCACTGCATTAAGAAAATTGACCCCACATAAATTATATAATTAAATTGACTATAATTTGCTCGGGGGTCAAGTCACGAGTTTTGTATAGTAAAATTTTATTATCCAAAAACAAAGAGCAGTGAAACTTTGTCACCAACGCAGGTTAATTCAAGTGGTTCGACGCTTGTTCCCCTTAAGCAAAGTCTCGAGTTTGGGTCTTGTGAATGGAGAAAACTTGTGCTGGGAGAGCTTTACCCCTTAGTGGGCCGACCCAGCTCAAACCGGATTAGTCAGTGTCCAGTGGGCTTCTGGACACTGATGGATTAGACCCCAAAAAAAAAAATTGTCAATTATTTATAGAGTATAATATTCAACATAAGTCATGTTTGATAAATCTTAACAGGATGATTAAAAAAAACAAATTGAAAACCAAATTTAGCAAACAAGGGTATTTTTGTAATTGTCGTGTGCCTAGTGCAGGCCTCGTCGTGGGAGCTTCTATTTGCACACACCAAATCCCCTCTTTGCACATCCTTCTCATTACACACACCAAAAAAATTAATTCCTAATTATTTTACTCACTACACACACATTTCACTCCACATCTACCCACTCACACACACACACACACACACACACACCCACCCCCAGACCCTCAAGCCCAGCTCTCCCGATGGTGCAAATACACCCATTGAAGCTGCACATCTGACATTGCTCTCCCAACAGTTCAAATACACCCATTGAAGCTACGTTGCATCTCTCACATTACCCTTCTTCACACATTACCCATCTCTCCCCGTAGCTCCCTACTTCACACAGCTTTCATCCTCAAAGCTGCATCCATCAAGAAGCATTGAATTCCAACACATTTTCAATCCTTATTCGTAGTTAGGTTAGTTTATTTTTCAATCCTCATTCCTATTTCAATTTGCAATGTAGAGTTTTGTATTAAACCATTTTCAAAACGAACAAGTTGTTCGGAACTGGTTTTCTGAAAGTAAACAATTTGTTCGGACGTAGAAATCCGAAAATAATCATTAATTTCAACAGTAGATTTCCGAAAATTTTTCATTGTTTCGACAGTCAACTTCCGAATATTTTGAATTTGGACAACACTCAACTTCCGAAATTAAGTTTTAGTTTCGGTTTTCAACTTCCGAACAAAATATGTAGTTTCGATTTTCAACTTCCGAACAGTTTTTTCCCCCCCCCCAATTCTTTTGTATATTCTTGTTTCAATTGTATAGTCATTAAACATATTATTTTTTGCAGATAATATGGATTCTGAATGTCAACAACGTGTCCCACCTACTGCTTCAAATAGACGACATCGTGAATTGGATGTTAACCATGAACGGGGACGAGGGCGTGGGCGAGGACGAGGTCAAGGTCGTGGTCGAGGTCGTGATCCAGTTTCGGTAGAATATGATATCCCCAGCGCCAGTCAAAGTCGGAGCCGAAGCCAAAGACGAGTTCAAAGTTATGATATGCCTGACATTGCTGTGGAGGATAACTCTTTACCCGATTCTCCTACTGTCCAGGAAGAGGACCTTACTCATGCTTTTCCAGGTGGACCGACTAATCCATCAATACTGCGGAGTTTCAATAGTCATGTCGCTGCAGCTGTTTGGCACGGGGAGGTAAACATTCCTGAGTAGAAGTGAAATTCATTTGTATATGAATTTTTTTTTTTTTTTTGTGTGTTGTATGGTAGTTTCTAATGAGATATTATTTGTGTTATAGGAACGAGGGCCCCTAAAGTGTCATAATCACTCTTCGAAGATCCTTGCATGGCCATGGTGGCCAGTAGACAACAACACCAGATTCAAAGCCATTATTGAGCAGTCTGGGCTGTCACAGTTAGCTCGTTGCACTTATCGGTTCATCAACAAGCTTCTAATCTCCAATTTTGTTGAAAGATGGCAACCTGAAACAAACACATTTCACATGGCAGTTGGTGAGATGACCTTGACCCTAAATGATGTTGGCACTATTCTTGGCCTTCCCATTGTAGGAAAATCAATCAGCGTACTAGATGTGACAGATCATCATGGAGTTACACTGTTGGTTTATGGCTTGGGGATTACTGAACGTGTAGCACATGAAGAGGTTTCTACTTCTGGTGGGAATTCAGTCAGGCTTGAGTGGTTGCGAAGTCAGTTTGCTAGTGTCACAGATTCAAACCCAGATGAGGCTATACAGTGCGCTGCTAGAGCTTATTTGTTGTTTCTATTGGGATGTATGCTCTTCAGTGACAAGAGTGGCGGCAGGGTTCCTGTTGTTTACCTTGGCTTATTGATGGATTTGGGATCCATTCATACTTATGCCTGGGGTGTTGTTGCATTAGCATTTTTATACAGACAGTTTAGGTATGCTAGCCGGTCCGGTGTTAAGCAGATGAGTGGTTATACGGGATCCTCAGCTAATTTTAACACTTTCCATTTATCTTACCCTTTATATACTTTAATTCAAAAACACTTTACGTTTATAGGTTATTTGGGATCCATACCACAATTGCAAAGACCGGCATCTATGTAGCCCGGTTACGTTCTACCATGGATGCTTAAAGTGCTTAGACGTGGTCGAACCCTATCATCCAGATAGAGTTCTGAGACAGTTTGGCAGGGTTCAAACCATCCCAGATGCACTGCTAGCTCCCAGTCATGGTGCTCGAGGCAACATATCTGCACGATATACAGTCATGTATAGATACTTAGATAGGATCTGGGAGGCTTGGGATAACCACGTGTTATCTAAACAGTGGAGGAGCACACCAGTTTGTCAACCTTGGGAATGTGTACCGGGTTACGTGGATTGGTATAAGAATATCACACACCTATATGTTGAGCACACTGATGAACCACGTGTCCATGACCATCAGGATTTCAGCCAACATGCTGATGTAATATATTATCCTCTTTTATGCATTTGTAACTTACTTTTTATTTTCTGATATGTTCTCTAAAATGTGATATTCTTTTCAAATGCAGCGTATTACACATGCACTGCAGATTTCACATCCTATTATTGAGGCTAGTTATGAGGAGGGGATTCGACATCCTATCGACTTTATCAGGCTATCGAGACTATGATGCATGTCCTTGAAGGTCAACACATTGACGAAGCTGGACCTAGTTATACTGGAGGTCGCTTTTCATCTCCGACATTGACATACAGTCGTAGGCCTAGGCGTAGGCATACAGCTGATTCGTGACATGTTATTTGTTAGTTGATGAATTTTTGTGGTGTTTTTTGTAAGATGATATTGTTGTAATGGTAACAGTGGTTAATATTTCCAACTTCACGTACCTAGTTGAGCAATTCATCCTTACTTTTGAATACCTACAAAGTCAAATAAATATTATCAAACATTTACATTTGTTGAGCAATTCGAAACATAATCATCATAATTTTGTAGAGTGAACTTGTTTAGTTGTGAATTGAGTAGTGTAATCCAACATAAAATCCGCGCAAACCTGACTTCCTTGAGTTGACACGTATTCCTACATGTTTTGTATAACATTACAAATTTTTAATAGCATTATAAAGATTAATTTGCAATTCCAAACTGTAAATTTGGTATGCAGTTTGCAAATTTTGAATATAAAATGGAAAAAAAAAATTTACTTCATTCGAAAGTACAGTGTTGAACAAAATGCTAATTTTCGAAAGTAGTTGTCTGAATTAATTTTAAAATTTCGGAAGTTGAATGTTGTAAAAGTTAACTTATTTCGGACAACAACTTCCGAAATAAAATACTTATTTCGAACAACAACTTCCGAAATTAAATACTTATTTCAGTAGTAGATTTCCGAACAAAATAATATAATTCGACTTAGGTTATCCGAACGACGCTGGAAAAAAAAAAAAAGAGAAACTCATATTTCCTTCGCTATGTTTCTCATAAACATTTATTTGCTGATTTTCAGAAGACAAATCCTCCATAACAATGATGAATGAGGAAGAAGCTACGAATGAGGAAGGTTGATACTTTCCCTTCTAGCTTAATGTATGATGAATGAGGAAGGTTGATGCTTTCCCTTCTAGCGTAATGTATGATGAATGATGAAGAATTCAACAGCTTCAACAACTTCAATAGAAGAAGCTACGAACTTGGAGCTTCAACAGATGTGAAATCTAGATGTGCATTGAGACATTTTGAATTGGGTATGATGTCTAAAATAGTAATTTCACTTAGGGATAAAATTGTAATAAAAATAAATATCATTAAATGTGTGTATCGAGGGGATTTGGTGTGTGTAGATAGAAGCTCCTACTCGTCGTTCACACAGCAAAACTGATTAAGAGGGATCTATCACAAAAATCCTTATTTATTGTGTGCTTTCTAGTTGGTATAGTAGAATGATAATGTGTCCAATAAAATCTCCCTCTTTAGAAACATATATAAAGTTACTTAGCCAATATAATTATACCTTGATACTGGCATCATATGTAATATACCCATAAAAGCAAGAAAGAAAACTGAAATCTAGAATTCAAATGAGTTTGCCTTTGTTTTGGGTTATGGCCACTCAAACAAGTCTAAGAAAGTCTAAGAAGAATTTTGTTTTATTTTTTAATTTGATCGGTAACAAAAGAAACTGTATTAAAATATATATATATATATATATAATAAAATAAAAAGAGAGAGAGAGTACAAACAGACGACAAGATGTCCTCAATAAGAGAAGCAAAAACATTATCTATCAAAATAAAGTGACAATTTAAACATCACAAATCACTTTTCAATTTCTAGAATAAAATAAAATAAAGAATGATGCCAACTGGCATACACCAACTTGTTGGGGTCGGGGATCCCGCCCAAGACCTTATAGAAATCATACTAAGTAGTAAAACACACTTACAATCAAGGAGACACCATATTTAACGTGGTTCGGCCTCAATGCCTACGTCCACGGGAGAGTAACCGGTTATAACTATAACAATGAAGAGATTACAGAAAGATTACAATAGAGGAGGAGCTCACACTATCCTCACTTAGCCACTCTCCCGTCTCCCTCGCTTACACCGAGAGAGATGGTCTCTCCGCCTTACATCTCTCTCTCTCTCTTTGGTTTGCTCGATTTGCTCACGGTTCTCACATCTTGCCAATCCAACCCTTCCTCCATTTATATACATCAAGAGTGTAGAAGAGAGACAAGGTTAGTAGAGTGGTTGCCACCCCCACCCATCTTTAATGGGGAGGTGCCACCCCCACTCAATCTCATAGTGGGAGCTCCATCACATAAAGTGATCACCCCTCAAATGGGTGATATCCTACAAATCACCCCCTCAACCCATGTGAGGTGATCCACTGCACACACTGCTGCTAATCTTGTCACGCCCAAATTTCAACATAGTCTGCATCTCCTCACTGAGACACTTGCACCCCCTGAAGCTAGAGATAATACACCAGAGATACAAGAGGAAGAAGGAATCCTACATCCTCAACTCAACTCACACCATTCTCTGATTTGGAGAGAGCCTCTGTTCCTATCTCCTACAGATCTCTTCCACGCTTCCTGTCTTGGATGTCTTCACTTTCTATGCATGAACTTGCGCAACCAAGATATCCGACACCCCGTGATTGGATGTCTTGCACCCCCTGCTAGGATGCCCTTGACTATCATGCATTACCTTGCAGGACCAGTCATTGGAGCAATAAAAAACTCCTTGTTTGTCCCATCAACGTCCTCAGTCTTCTTTGCTTGGAGTTTTTTCCTCTGAACTATCAGTCTTTGCCCTCTGCACTTCTGAACAACCTCCAACGTTTCCACATACCCTCGTTGTCAATGCTTTTGCAATCCCTAATTTGATATCTAGTAGATTGATGGTTGACAGTAGCTCCATCCGTCAAAGCATCGTCAGCTATGCAATTCCTTGCATAGTGCTCGCACCCATGGCTTCTGGTCTCCCTGCGTCGAGCTCGCTTGAGAGATCTGCATCAACTCTATCCTTCGTTGCCATGGAACTAAAGAAACCACCATAAAGAAAAAAGACTTGCCGCACCTTGGCGCGCACTCTTGCGTTTTTCCCGTCTCAATTTCTTTGTCTGGAAATTCCTGTGAACTTTTAATAACCCGTTGCTACATACTCTTCTCGTGCCTCTGTACGACACTTTAGCGTACCCTTGCACTACTACACGTCTGCATTTGTGCTTCTGCGCTTAGTATGCTCCTCTACAACTATTGTTCTACACGTCCACTTACCATCAGTACCTACTCATATACAGTAGCTCCAATAGCCACAGCATTTCCTTGAGCTTGTCTTGTTGCCAAATCATCTATCCGTTGATGAATGGACCTTTTTTGATTAGATTTTCCGATCAACTCTGGAGATAATCATCTCTACAATCCTCTGATCGCCCTTGACCAATCCTGATCTCCCTTGATTTGCCATTTGATCAAGCCTGATCTCCTTCAGTCTTCAATGATCTATCTCGATCTGTATTGGTTGTCCAATCTGGTCAGAATTTGCCCATTCTAACATCTTCAGTGAATCGCAGCGTTTCACAATATCTGGCAACCATCCTTCGACTATTGAAGATGACAAACTTCCATGTTTTGACAATCTTTAAAAACCGTTCAAAATTTCACTATTCTGACCTCGCGGTTGCGTCCAGAACAGTTCATTTAGCTAAGACCAACCTTCGCTGCACTTCCGGGGACCTCACTGAAAAACATCCCCGAAACCTAGGGCAAAATTGCAAATTTCCCAAACAATAGGGGCTAAACTGTAATTTCACAAACTACAGGGGCCAAAATGAAAATTTCCAAAAATTTTGGGACCAAATTGTAATTTTTGAAAACTTAGGGACCAAATTGCAATTTACCAAACTTCTAGGGACCAATATGAAATTTCTTGATAATTCTGGGCCATTCAATAATTTTCAGAAACTCCAGAGAATATTCTGTTAACCGAAAGGAATATTTTGTCCAACTCCATTATGCCTAACGCCGTTTGCCACGTGTCATCGCTGACATCACCACCTTGTCAACGTTGTGTCATCCTCCACCCAAAAAAAAAAGAACAAATTTTTTGAGGCGCAGCGTAGGGGGGTTCGAACCCCTGACCATGAACACCACAACAACTTATGCACGATGCCAACACCACACCTTGTGAAATATTTTGCGAAGAAAATATATATTACATAAAAACTACGGTCATCTTCAACCTCCAATTTCCGTCCGCAAACTGATCTTTCCGGTGACATGCCGGCAGCGCTCCGGCGAAACTTCAGGCTGAGCGTGGGAGCACGTGACTCTTCCTTTTGAGCTTGTTTTTCTGGGTATAGATTCCTCTCGTCGAGACGCACCTCCTGATATGCTCAAAACTCTATTTCAAGCAAGTTGATTTCTGGGCCATTTCGAAAAACACACGATTTTTCCTTCACTCAAGCTCTGATACCACTTATTGGGGTCAAGGATCTTGCCCAAGACCTTATAGAAATCATACCAAGCAGTAAAACACACCCACACTCAAGGAGACACCACATTTAACGTGGTTTGACCTCAATGCCTACGTCCACGTGAGAGTAACCGGTTATCACTATAACAATGGAGAGATTACAGAAATATTACAATAGAAGAGGAGCTCACACTATTCTCACTCAGCCACTTTCTCGTCTCCCTTACTCACACCGAGAGAGACGGTCTCTCCGCCTCATCTCTCTCTCTCTCTCTCTTTGGTTTGCTTGGTTTACTCACGGTTCTCACATCTTGCCTATCCAACCCTTCCTCTATTTATACACATCAAGAGTGTATAAGAGAGACAAAGTTAGTGGACTGGTTGCCACCCCCACCCATCTTTAACGGGGAGGTGCCACCCCCACTCAATCTCATAGTGGGAGCTCCATTACATGAAGTGATCACCCCTCAAATGGGTGATATCCTACACAACTTGCTATTATTTTCGTGAAAGAAGTGTGAAATCAGCAAATTGAAGGCACAAATTTTTTGCTACGATTGATATAAGACAAAATAATAATATCATTTAGTTAGTCCATTGTTAACTGCTTGCTAGTACACACCAAAAAAAAAAAGAAATGAAATGGCAAAGCTACTAAAGAACCAAACATTGCAGTAAAGAAAAAAGCAAACCTTTGCATTTGATTTTGGTGATGTTCTGACACCTCATTGGATCCAATATGAGAGATCTCATTACAAAGTTTTCTGATTCCAATCCCTTTTTTTTATGTACTTTTTTGTGCACACATAACTGCTTACAAAATTATTTTCAGATAAAAAAATGAGGTGCCCATAGAAAAGAGCGCACTTCGGTAAAGTTAAACCATGGATAAGACATCATCTTCAACTTTGTATGTATC